GCAATTTGAGAAGATTGCTGAAAAGTTTTTTGGGGCCAGGGAAAAGTATAAGGAGGTCACAGGGACAGAAGTCACTCCCAAGGTTTTCCTTCAAATCATCCAAAGTGGATGGAACAAGAGCACCAGGTTAACCATGGAGGAACAGTGGCTGCAAATGATTTGTCCTTTATGATCTCAAGAGTCTGGAATGAAAAATACACTCACACTCAATGATTTCTCATAGTTTCTGTTATTGTAATGAGAAAATCACCAACATTAAGTTTTACCAGATCCCCAAGAAACTATTTTAAAATCCATTCACGGTAACTGATGACCCCATTATTCATAAAAATGTATCTGTACTTTCACAGACAAACTAAACAATTGTCCATCATGATCCCAGAATCTGGAATGAAAAAGAAACCAACATACAATTTGTTTTCATAGATTTAGTAATTGTAAAAGAAATTGCCACCAAGTTTTACTTGATCCCTGCTGTAGCAAGAAACTATTTGAAAATCCCATCATAAAATCTGATGCCCTCCAGTAGTCAAAATCTAATGAACCCATTATTCACTATTCTTCACAACAATTTATCTGTACATTCACAGACAAACTTTTCTTTCACAAACCTGCACAAGGTTTTAGCAGTTAGTCTGTAGCTGTGCCAAGTGCTTAGGACAACATGACCCAGCTGCCTGTTGGTGCTGTGATTTGGATGAATAAGGAACACTACATTCCTGTGAGACACAGGGTGGAGAACAGGGTCTTCACTGATAAGCAGGTTAACATTGGGCTTCCAAAGTTCCAGTGGTTCTCATTAAAACTTTCTAAACACCTGAAGAGTATCTTATTAAGATCACTTTACCTTTTGTTTTGAAAAAGTATTGCAAGTAGGTGGAGCCTTGATCAATTGACCCACTTGGAAAGTTGTGGCACATTACTGATTGCTCTATAGGGTGTAAGGTGGAGGAAGGAGATCCAGGAGGCAACTTTGCGCAATCATACTTTGCAGAGAGAAGAGACCATGAGACACACAGCAACATATTTGGAACCAAGGCCACCTGTGCAAGTAGCTGAAGGGAGATTGAAATGTGGGCCTTGTGACAGGCTGGTGATTGTTGTGGAGAAACTCTATCACACTGAGGGCATCAGACATCTCATCAGGATGAAAAATCTGGACACTGGAGAGGAAAAGTTTTTCAGGAGGAATCAATTCACTGATGATGAAATGGTAGAATTTGCTTCCTCAAATTAGCAAATAATTAATATACTAGGCCATGAATGGATGGCTTGTTAGAGTATTTAGAGACCAGTGTTTCCCAACCTTTTTGAACCCACAGAATGACAAATTTCTATAAAATATTTTGCAGACCTGAAAATGTTAAAAACATTTTTGCGGATGCGCTAAGTTTAAAAAATTTTAGCAGTTTTTTTTGAAGACTTTAGGAGAGGTACTTATTAAGTTTCTTTTTTTTTTTAAAATCAAGTTACTAGAGAACAAAGCCGCTATTTTGGAATGTCTTCAAGAAATTAGAAAGGACAGCTTGCAGGAAGATTTCTCATAAGGAAAAATTAATTTATTTCAACAGGTGAAAATTTGTCTGAAGTATCACCAAGAGAAAAGCCAACTTATTTTTCATCAGATAATTTCATCCACCATTTATTGCATTTCCAAAATATCAGATAAAGATAAGACTTCAATGCTAATTTTGATGAATTTATCAAGCTGAAGAAAATTTCCTGCAGACCAGCAAAAAAAACTTCTGCAGATCTACTCTGGTCCACAACCATGCATTGGGTAACACTGTCTTGGACTAGATAATGAAATATCAAGTAGTTCACAAAATATTGCAAAGAATGAATTCAAGGATTAAACTGCATTATCAGCATTCCAGCAAATCCTGATGCACAATAGATCAAATTATGCTTATTTGGATAATAAAGTCATGGAATGAGTCAAAATGATAGTCATAATCATATTTTCCCTAAATACTTGAGACTAATTTTGCTTATTTTAATTTACATTAATTTGTCAGACAACAGTGAAGTTTGAGAGTAAGTGGGTCTTATTAAAAGTATGACAATGGGTCTCTGTCTTTCCTTTGGTGGATGAAAATATGGATAAACTTGACTAATGCTTGCATAAGTGGGATATTTTGAGTAAAACTTGAATTTTTATAAAGGTGAAGGAGTTGATACATGGTGCCAAGCAGGCCATTGGAGAGACAATTGGTCACACAAGTTTACCAGACACCATGGGCCACTTTGAGCATGTACTCAACCATCTCCCAGTGGATGAAGAGGACAAAATGGCAGCCAGGAAGATTTTAACAGGAAAAGCTCAAACACTTCCAGCTGAAAAGCCTGCTGATGAACCCAGTGCTCCACTAAACATTCCCATCACCAGGAAGGCTCCTGAAAGTCCTTACATCAAAACTCTCATCCCCAGGTGAAATATTTAGGAGAATGCTTCTATCAATCTGACCTATTCAGCCTGTAATTTTTTTCACAGCTTGAAACCCCTGAGATCTGCTGAAGCTGAAGAAACAAAACCCTTGATATCCCCAAAGGCTTTCAGGACAGACCACTGGAAGAAGGAACTTATGCCTACCACTGATCAAATCTTGAGAAAGCTGGAGAAACTCAGCCCCAGGCAACCCCAAAGAAAACTTTCAAAAATTAGACCAGGAAATTCAGGATGTTCTCAAAATGCTGCTGTTCTTGCTTGAATGCCCACTCAATAAATAGTGTCCATACTTGAACCCCTTGAAAGTCCCCCACAACTTGATCTCCTAAACACTGTCCAGGCAGTTCTGATAAGCATTAACCTCTGGAAAGCACAAATTATTTTAACCTGTTGCTGCCATAAGAAGAATGATTAAGCCAAGAATGTCTGCAAGGGAGCAATCTTGGGTTAAAACCACCAGAAAAATCGGTTGGTTAGCAGTTACAGTTATGCTGCTAGCTGTTATTAAGGCCTTGTTGGATATTGGAAGAACTTATTTCCCACTTCTTTATCAGCAGAATGTGCTAGCTAATGTCAAATCAGCATTTCAAATTGAGGTAAGAAGCATGAACATTATTCACCAATTGATGTTTCCATACATAAGAATTTCACTTGACAGGAATGCCTGAAATGCATTGGACTTCCATACCCATGGATGATGATTTTCATCCCAGTAACTGGCCTACTTTTGCTCATTGGCTTTGACATGCAGTGAGTATACATCAATGACTGACCAGTGATACACAAGGAAAAACCTTGAGATATGTTACTTTATGCACAGAAAATGGTTGTATGCTCTGCCATGGATGGCCATGTGTCTCATCTTCCCAAATATGCAAGCAAATGTCCTGTCCTGTGCCAGGGGCAATGCTGTGGTTTCTCATATGAGTCCAAATAATAGCATGAAGATTGAACATCATATGCAAGAGCCTGGATATAAATTCCATCCTGAGGCAAATCCAAGGGACATTTGGAAATGCCCAGTACCCATGTTGAATAGAGAGGTTCAGTATATATACAAGGCCTATGTAGAATAATTTAACATCCATTTCATAGATGTCACCTTGTATAATCTTTAGCCTTGGAATAATGTGGAGCATTACCTGGACTGGACTGTTTGGAGCTGTGCTCTCCTGACCTCAATCTTGTTTATGGGGGCATGTGTAATGAAGGAATGGGTGCAAATGGAGGAACTGCTGAAGAAGGCCAAGAGGTGCATCCTTTTAATTATCCATCAGGCGCATTGTCTTCTTTGCACTTCTTTCAAGATAAATATCTTAACAGATTTTTTTTCTTCCAGGATTGTCATAAGCCACACCAGGAATAGCCAGAGTATCAGGCAGAGGCCTAATCAGCCATCAGGGGTTATTTTGGATCCCCAACACCTTGAGTATGTGTAGCACAGTGACTCTCATTCTCTTCACAAATGAGACAGAGGAATAAAGTTTCCATGAATGGATTCTCAAATTCAATTATTACTCATTTCAAGGATTTACTTTTCAGAGTGGTTCAGCAGAAGCAGCCCACTCTTGGATAAACAATCACATTGGAAAGTATTTTTCTGTTCAATAATATTTTTTTATTTTTTTCTGTTTTGTAATGAAATTTAGATTTTGACCATATAATCCTTCAGAATGAAAATGTATAACTTGAAAACTGAAACTGAATTATGAAGATTCTTGCTAATTTGAGAGGTTTTCAACCCTTTTTGAAATGTTTTCTTAGACTTGTAAAGGATACATTTTACTATATCCAGGCAATGCTAAAATACTTTCTAAAAAGAAATAATTGGTCGATCCAAAGATCACCAAATCAAAATCTTAAGCTAATTGAAACAGGAAATGCTTTTCTTAGAAGTCCTGTCAAGGCATTTCTAATATCAATATTTGAAATTACAGGCTACTTGATCATTTAAAACTATTTGGATATAAAAAACCTAAATTCAATTTTTTGGAGTAAATTTGACCCATGAAAGAAAATCAATTCGCACAGTCACACTATTCACACAGGTCCATTGTGGATCCCTGTCAACTACCACACAACAGAATTCTGCAGAACAGACCATCTCTGGAGTCTGGAGGCAGTTCTTTCTCTCACATAACATACAAACCCGCATAACAGACCACCAGTGGACAGCATGAGTCCCTCAGGCTCCCCCCCTGCTTCCCAATTCAATTTGAATATACAAATTGTCATTATTATTGCTATTAATGTGTGTGTTCTTATTTTTAAATAGTATATACTTATGGTTTTAATCTTGCTTGCTTTGCATAAGTGTGAACATAGAGCAGGAAAATTGAACTAACATAACAGACTTTTCACACAACCAGACTATTCTGTTTAATTTAATAATTGCAGGTAAGATGATTGTGCAGGACCTATTCTGGCACTGGTTTATGTGAAGGGTTTCAGTTTTCTACCAGATTAAAGTACAGTCAACCCCCGTCTAACAGACTTGATTTGTGCAAGGGACAAGTCTGTTAGACGAAAAGTCCTTTACATGAATTCAATTACATGAAAAATTAAAAATTTCAATTTTCAACACTAATTTTAAACCAAACGAAGTCTGTTTGGCGGATTTTGTCTGTTGGGTGGGAGGAAAAACTGCTAGCAGAGCTGGTCTGTTCGGCGAAAATCCCTTACACGGGAGGTCTGTTAGGCAGGGGGCCACTGTACTGTACTATGGATATTCTGTCAACCCTCATTTTCAAAGTATATGCTCAACCAGGTGTCGCTCTCATCACACATGTCACTTGAAAAGCTTCAAGGTAAACAAAAGAAAAGCACCCAGAGGTCGCTCCCTGACTGATGATACACTGCAAAAAAATAACCAAACACGTCAAGTGAAAGAACAAGAATCAAGAAAACAGGTCTTCTCTCTCTCTCAGGCCTTTTCTTTTTTATACAGTCCACGGAACGCCTTTGTGCTTAATGTTTGGAGTCGAAATCCAGCAGGCGGGGGTTTTTTTTTCTATACAATCAACACGGAACAGCAGCAGCAGCAATAAATTAAAAAATAAAACAGCACAGCAGCGAAGAAAGAAGATGGAGGGAAAAAAACAACAACAAAAGAGAAAAAGCTTTGGAGAAGAAAAGCGAAGAAGGCAAAATCAATTCCGAACTCTAAATGCTGTTCGCTCGAATCCGGGGCACGGAGACGACGTCATCGTCATCATCATCATGAGATGAGGCGACATTTGCATTTTAATTCTCACGTCCGGCTCTTTGTTCTTGCTCTTCTTGCGCTCTTTTCTTCCCAGCACACAACAGCAGCAGCAGGAAAAAAAAAAAAAAGAAGGGGTGGGGATTCAAGATTTTTCGCTTTCTGAATAAGTGCAGATTTTAAAAAGTTAAGCTTCGGTTTTTTTTTTCCTGTGTCAACGAACCTTCTTTTTTTTTTTAATTTTGAACGCGGAATTTCTTCCACATCAATGAGAAAAACCCGGATCTACAGAAATCGAGGGTGCCGGGGAAAAATCCTGCGAGACAAAAGCCCACCGACGCGGCATTTCACAGGTGTGACAATAGAGGAGGAGAAGCGGAAAAGAAGAAGATGGCGACGAAGGGGATGGCTGATCAAAGATGGCGGCGTTCTTGGGGCTCATCCACCGAGCGCTTCCCGATCTGACGAAGGAGATTCTGGTTGGCGATGATTTGTGACTGGGACTTTTGCATGCGGCGTCGTGCCATTTCGAGCAGGAGTTTTTGGCGGAGCACGTCCAGATGGTTGACGACGGACAGGGAAGGGCCTGCGTCAGATTCGCGCTTCCTCTTGCTCTGTGATTACGACAGACAGAGGTGAGAGAGAGAAAGAGAGAGACAGCTCTCTGAGTCAATGAGTGGGAGAAGCAATATGGCTGCGCCCATCCAAATGTGCCTCCAATTGTTTCAATGTGCAATTTTTTTTTCATCAGAGCCAAAATTTGAGGAATTTATATTCATGTGAGATATTTTGAATGCCAAAATACAAAAAAAAAATTGTCACGGATTTCAAAGCTACTTTTAAAATGTACTTCAATGATCTATATATAGAGATGCATCTTTAAGAAAAATTGGATGTTACAGTAATGTCTTCAGGAGAGTATTTGTACTTTGATTTGAGATTGCCAGCATATGTCCTTTTGTGCATTGATGAAATATAAACTTATAATTGCAAGCATCTTGGTAACATTCATTCATTTCTACAATTTTACCCCAGTAATAACATCTTTTTAAAACACTTGGATGTTCCAATGAGGCTCCAGGTTTGTGGACTTGAAAATTTTATGAAAAGATTTGAATTCTTTAGCTTTTCTATTCAAGTCCATTACACTTTTGTAGAAAGACATATTTTGCATCATTTGAATGAGTTCATTTGGTTAGAAAGGAATAATTTTAAAATTACAACTTGCAGTGGTAAATTTGGCATAAAATGGATCTCATGTTCTTGCAAAAAAGTTCATGTGCCAATGCATTCAGACATTTGGGAAATGGTTTGAATGCTGCAAAGTAAAAAGATACAGTAAAATGGTTATGCACATTCATGAATCTTTACATTAATTGAGATGACATGCTTTGGAACACTAGGAAGATTCAATGGCTATAGGAAGTACATAGTCAACTAAGTTATTTACAGTGCCAACATAGTTCTGGATACACTGGTGCAGTGTATAATTTTCATTCTTGCATTCAGTTATCTCTATTGTGCTCTTGATATTACATACTGTAAATTGGATCCTTTGGATAGGCCAATTTCAATGTGAAGGTTAAGTCAATAACTGATTTTGATGGTCAACATTTGTAAACTTGAACAATTTTCTTTTTAATGTCTCATGGAAGTTTACATTTTATAAAACAAAATTTATCAACCTCATTTCTGTTTTTTTGATAGACATCACCTGAGACTTTCAATAAATGGGCTGATTTGATGATAAGTGGACCTTGTTCAAATTAACTTCTGATAGGCAACATGTTATAGAAAGGATCAGATCTTTTGGAAGGCTTTGATAAGCATTTGATTTCTTCAACAGTTATGTGAATTTACCTTTGATGTCCAAAATTTGTCAACTTGAGCAAAGAGAAAGTTCTAGATATTTAATGCAGTATTTTGGACCAATTTTAAGTGTAAATCTCTTCAAAATACAGGAATAAACTTATCCTGTCAAGTTACAAAATATGTCCTGATTATTTAAACACAAAAAGTGAGAGTATTCAGTCCATTTAAAAAAAACTTCATAATGCTATTAGAAATGCAAAATCATTTTTGAACTCTGGGATGTCCCACAACTATCAAGAATAACAGAGTTAACTTACTTGACAGAACAAACTAATCTGTACTATAAAAGCATAAGTTCTCTCACTAGTGTTTCTGAAATGACATCTTCCAGGAACACATGATGGAGGAAAGTTCTTCACAATATTATTCCACTTACTAAAAATATCTTCCATTTGTTCTAGAATATTTATTGAGGCTATGAGTGAAAGTTTTTTGCCTTATATGTTAATACCTTACTCCATTATGCTTTTGGAATGTCCTCTTTATAGACTTTTGGACATAGAAACTTCTACAGAATGGCACATTCAATCAACTTCAAAAAGCTACAGCCAACCATATTCAAATATTTGTTGGCAAGCTTTTTGACTCTATTGGGGATTTAAAACCCTTATTATAATAATATAGCTCAAGTGGCTGCCTGTAAAATATTAAATGCAATGTTTTTCTAAAAAATACTGTTATCAATTATGACTTTTGAGTGCCACCATAATTTTTATTTGATATAGAGTATTTTTAAATTCCTAGCAAGAGTAGCGCCATTAAATCACCACAGTGTGTCCTGAGGTTGCCACTTAGCTAACCTAACACATTTGTGGCTACTATACACAAATGATGAAATATGATCCTGTGCATTATTGTCATTACCAGTTACCACAAGGGTTCACTGAAGACAGAAGAAACATTTGTTTCAATTTCCAGAGAAAATCTGAGCTTCTAGGATCAAGAGTATGAATCACACGTTTAAATAAATAAATAAATAAATAAATAAATAAATATTTATATATAAATATATAAATTTAAAATTAGTTTTCCCCTGATCTCATCTCGGATATTACTTATTAATTTACAAAAAAAGCTTTCGATGTTCTCATGTATTTTTTTGGATTATAGAAAATTGAGAATTATAATTTTCTAATGACCAAAAAGGAACAAAAGAACTTTCCACGACAATAAGGTCGTTAATTTCCTCAAGAACTTGAGTAAATGTGCGAAATTCAGCAGAAACTATCAGAAATAGTATTTTATATTTCTGATAGAAATGTTTCAGTATTTTCCCAAGCAGTGTATCACAAAGTCAATTTTGAAATTAAAAAAACGATCCTCGGGAAGGTCATCAAAAAGAATTTTCCGGCACGTTTTCATAATTTTGACGAAGCAACCACGCAATAATTAAGATACTGTTTATTGTTTTTATTTTAATATAAAATGGCGCTTTGAATTTGCTTTTTTTAAAATGTGTTTATATTCAACATATTCTCATGTGTGCATCAAAATTATATCGTTAAAATTCGACCGCAAAGAAGAAAATAACGGACCTGGGCGAGGTCATCATCAGGTTTGTTCATCAGCAGGGACTCGTCGTCTTCGCCTGCAGGCAACTGACCAACACCGCCGCCGCCGCCGATGCCGCCACTAGTGCCGCCAACACCACCGCCTTCAGCACCCAGCTCAGAGATGAGCACGATCCTCGGGGCCTCAGGGATCTCCCAGGGATCCCCGCCCTGGCCCAGGTATTCCAAGAAGGCGCGACGAGCTTCTGGCCAGCCGCCGTCACGAGGTGGCGCCGCTGCGGCGGCGGCGGCGGCCCCGAAGTTGGCCCGGGACGCCGCCATCCCCAACACCGCAACCAACAGCCACATCAGCCCCTGGCTCCATATTCCCGCCTTAGTCTGAGACATTTTTCGTTTTCGCCCTTATTTTATTTCCTTCCGTTGACTTATTAATTATTTTCTCCTTTCTAATGTTGGATCAAAAAATCAAAGTCTTGTTGGATTCCCTTTTCTCTTTTTTTTGTTTTGTTTGCTGAATATTTCTTTTAGAAAGACACACTGTGTCCCTGTAAAAGAGCGAAATAGAAAAAAGAGAGAAAAATTATTTTGAAAACCTGAACTGAAAACTTTTATAAGGCATGCACTATATACAGTATAAAAATAAAATCGCCAATTTGAAGGTAAAGCTGCACTTTAAGGTAATATACAGTACTTAAAAAAAAATTCATGGACTTCCAACTATTACAAATTCAAAATCAAATATCTGATTGTAGACCAAAAGCCCCCCTAGGTCATAAGCCAGGTTGACCTAGTTTCATACAAAAAGTAAGGAATTACAGGCATTCTTGTAACTCTTATGGTAAGCTGCACCTTTCACCAGCACAAGGCCAAGTACCAATAAGCCTATAAGTTGAGTATATACAGAGATTATTTACTTGCAGTGGTCATCATCAGTGATTCTTTGAATGTCATGGCATCATTACTTGCTGACATTCTACAAAATCAACAGTTAACCATGCTGATACAATGGCTGGGGGCACTTCAGATAATTAAAAATAAGAAGGGAGGTTAAATGGCATATTGGAATGAGAATTTATTTGTGGGGAAGAACACAGAAGCCCATACTAGACACTGAGACAGAGCACTGCATTGTGGGAGAAGAATGAGATAAGAGATCCACATAAAGAAGAAAATTACTGCAAGGAAGAGGCAGCAGATGGAAATTTTTAATATGATTATTAAACAGTCCTTTTGAGGACCAATGCAACCAAACAGCCCTTATCATGGCCACCACACACTTTTTATGAAATTTTCATCCAAATAAAGGGGGGGGGGGCTTTTTGCTGGGTACACAGATATCTACAAAGAATAATTAATATGATTTACAAAGTGAAAGTTCACTGGTTTTGAAGGTGACAAAATGTTGTGACATGATATTTCAATTTTTTTTAATTTATTAAGTTTTCTTGAAGTCTGAGAAGTTTGCAAAAAGTCTGGATCAGTCAATGATTTAAAAATTGTAAAATATTACTTCCATCACATATAAAGTGTTCCAAGGCTTGAAAAAGGTTCAGGGCTTTTTAGTGCAAACGTTTTTTATGCAAATAATTTATTCATTTAAATAATGGTCAAATGTCTCACAATTTGACCAATTTGACCCTAGTTTGGCAATAGATTAGGGTAAAATGGCAAGTTACCACCTGTACTAGGATAAAAGATCCCAGCTGTAGCCTGGCTGATTGATTTGTGTTCTCATTTCATTTTTTTTAGTTCCAGCAGTTTCAGTATATCTTGAATTGTAATCCTTCCTTCATCAGTCTTTCATTTTTTAACACGTTTTTATGAACTCACTTTCTTGTCCGTTTGTTTGTCCGGATCAAATTTAGCAACTCAAATTTTGCTCACTTCCCGACTAGCTAGCAAGCTGAAACTTTCATCACCACGTTTAAGGTTATTTTTTCCTTTTTTAAAACATGGTTTTTTAGATTAATTTTTTAATCTACTAAATTTTTGTGTGCTTTTTAGTCTTACTTGAAAAACGTGGTTTTTAAGATTAATTTTTTAATCTACTATAATTATTTTAGCTGTCATTAGCAACTCAATTTTTAGCTTTCTTTTGACTTAGTGAGCAAGCCTTACTTTTTATCACAAATATTTTGAAAAGTTACAGCAAGAATTTTTCAAGAGAAAATGCATCACTTTTGAAAATATGACTCAAATCTTTTTCAGTCCACCCTTTATACAATTATTAACATTTTTAACCCTCAACCAAATTTCCTTTTTTCAAGTTCCTCAATTAATTTTTTCACTAAATATAACCCTCTCTTGGTTATTTTTAGCTCTTCTTTGATCCTTGTATTTATTTCCAGCGGCAATTAAGTTTGAATCTGAAGATCTCAACCCTTTACTAGTTCGTCACAAAGCATGAAGATACCATCCAAGATTCCTTTTAAAGGAAATTCACTAGTCTTGTTTTACTCAATTCGAATTATGCCTGTTTTTGCCTCAGAGTTCCCTTTTTAGTTGTCAGGGGAGAAAAAAACAAGGGATGTTCGCTCTCAGAAAATCTCCAGAGGCGGATATATAAAATGGAAAATGGACAGAAAAAAATAATTCCTGTGTGAGAAGACCTTCACCCAAGAAAATTGGGTATTGACAAAGACATTATGTGTGGGTTGTGGAACAGCAATTTACTGCCTGGTCTCATTTCCAAAGCACTTCATTTTCTCTTCTCCTTCTTGGCCAATTCTTGATGAGGGGTTTTGTGTTAATGCTTCTGAGGGAAACTTCTGTCATCCAAGAAAAAAAAAATTCAATTCAAGACAAGAAAGCAAAAAATTTGAAATTTTATCTGTCTTAAACTGATGCACTTGCAGCATTATGTCATGATTTCTTCCACATGAAAACATTCACAGAGCTTAAAGGACCCTTAATTTTTTTCTCTTGAAATACCCACATCAAAATTGCTCAATAATTTTATAATCTGCACTTTAAATTAATTTAATGAAATCTCTCAACTTTTGTTGCAAGGAAGAAAATATTCTGCATCAGAGAGTGCATTAGAAAATGGGGATTCAAAAGTTTTGGAATGTCTCAGTTTCACAGTGTAATATTTTTTTAATGAGCACTTTATTTTCTTGTAGAACATTTAGCTCTACAAAAATAATTTTAATTCTGAATTGATTTCATATAGAATACATGGTGTAAAATAATTATTTTGAGCTGCAAAAGCTGAAGATGTAAAAATTTGAAATAGAATCAAGACAAGCATCAGTTTCAGGAGGTGAAATAAATGTTCCCTCTCTAAACTCCATTTTCTTCCTAGAATACCCTCTTATTGTTAAGAAAAGAGATCTTGAATGCTTATGCTGATTCATTTTCATGAAATTCAGTTGAGATAAAATGACTAAATTGGGTGCAAAACATGCACTTGCAAATTCTGCAGAAATATCATCTCAATCCATATTTTTTTGTGGCCATGAAATACCTTTTCCTTGAACAGAAACCCACCAAAAAGATTTGAATGAAGGTACAGAAGCACCTTTTCAGCTAATAAAAAAAAGGATTTTACTAAAAATTGTCCTGAACTAGCTGGGAAGTATGATTTCATAATTCAGGGAATAAAAACAGAGTAATAAAAAGAAAATTTCCTTGGTACAGTATATATCAAGTATAACTTCCCCTCTCCTCTCTCCATCATGTCAGCACAAGGGAAGACATGAATCAAGATGCATCAGCACTCTTCAGCAATGAAACACTGGCTGCTGGGAAACACAAGATGTGCTGGGAGACATATATTCTACACTGAAGTTGTTTCCCTCTGGGGAAATCCTAGCAGTACTCAGTGCCCCAGCACTGCAATCAAGGCAGATGTAATGGCACACTGCCCACTGTGCAAATCCACACACGTGTTCACAATCTGCCAAACTGGATGAGGATTCAGCAAAAAAATATGACACTTTCTCTGGTTTCTCTCCAGTCTTAATCCCCAGCAAAAGATAAAAACAATGCTTGAACTATAAGCTATCCTCATACAGAAAACATTCCATAAAGTTGTAATTAAATAACTTACAAAAAATGTGAAAAGACTCCCATGGGAAAAAATGGCACTTTATTATTAGTGAAAAATACTAAAAACCTAACTACAGATCAATAAGAAACCAAATATTTAATAAATAGTTCAGCCCTTAGACAGGAGGACAATTTTATCTAATTTAGAAAATACAGCATTGCATAAAGTTAAAATTAAATGACTTACAAATGATCTGAAAAGGCTCTCATGGAGAAAGTGACAGATTATTAATTATTAAAAAGTCATGAGAACCCAACTGAACATTAAAAAGAAATCAAATATTAAAAAAAAAACAGTTCAGCTCTAATATAGACAGGAAGGAAATTCAGAAAAAACCAATAAATGATTCTCAGCATGCTGATCCAAGTCTGCATGTCAAAAACCCTCTTTTGTCAAGAAGTAAAGTCAAAACTTTTGTCTCAACAAACATCACTGTCTAAATTTCAAATATTGCATAGAAAACAAATGTTTGAATATTACCAGCAGCAGATATTTTGCTAATCAATAAACATATTCTGGCTGATACAAATTAATTCAAAACTAGGCACAAACTATGCATGCCTAAAAACTTACTGTAAAAGCTTACTTAAAATGTTTTGTGGCAAAATATAGTAACATTAAATGAAGCTCTGGACAATTTTTTAAATTTGAAATGTAGGTCATGTATTTGGCTCAGCTATGAAAGTTTCAGGCACACTAAAATGAAATCTGATCTGAAAATATGAATAAAAAGCAATATTCCTCTTTTTTTTAATGGTTAAATCTTGACATTTTTAAATTTAAAGTCCATCAGGAATAAAGAGAGAAAAAATGAAGCAGGAACTTATTGAGGGAAAAATATGTTACCCAAGGGTTAAATGCCTGGTAAAAACCTGATCCCTTTATATATCACATCATGGTAAGATCCGAAAAAGCCTTTGATTTCATCCTCAGCCTATACAGAGTGGTATTTCATTAAAAAGTTTCTCAGACATGGATACGGTTTTTGGCTTTGATTAAAATGTTCTGCTTCGAAATGAGGGGCAAAAGTTCCTGGCCCGGGGCAAATTGTTCTGCATAGATATTTCCGAGGGATCAAATCCATTTTCCAGGGATTTCCGGTGTTGCCAAACACCTTCTTCATACAGTAATCATTTACACTCTGAAAATGCAACAAAAATTTTATTCAAAACATCTCGAAATTTCAAATTCATTTCCCTCATATAGAAGAAAAATGTTGAAAAGCTCCCAATTTTTTTAATAACTATGATTTCAGCAAAATCCATATTTTGCAGCACTTCTTTTCCTGATTTCCTGACAATCAGAAACTTCTCCAAAGAAATCGTATCTTCTGAAACTTTAATTTTGAGGAAATTCTGGCAATTTAAAAAATGTCTGAAACGCTTCAGAAAATTTTTTTTGCATGAAGTAACCCTTTGAAAAATAAAGATTCTTCCACTTTTTTTTTCTTACTCAATGAACTGTAATTTAAAAAGACGAGAAAAGACGATATTATCTCAAACTTCCGGAAAAACT